AAAATCTTTTGCTGTAATTATAGTATACAGTTGTAAATTTCAATAACTGTAGCTAATCAATAATCATCTTTAATCACCTAACTTTGTACTATTAATTAATTCAAGATTAATGAATAATAATTAAACTATTTGTTGTGTAAACTTTTAACTTTTAAGTCAGTAAATTACCTGTTGGATTAATATATTTCAATGTTATTTTTTTTTTATTAATAGAAAGTGTCAAAGTAAAAGCTCAATATTTAGTACCTGGAGATGTTATTATAATTCCACCAGGAGGTTGCAATATAGCTTGTGATGCTTTATTGTTATCTGGTAATTGTATTGTTGATGAAAGTCTTTTAACAGGTTTGTATTTGCATTAAAATATTGTTTAAGCATTTTAAAAGGCATAACAGTTTTTAGTATATTAGGTACATTTCTAGGATAAAATTTTAAAAACAAAAAATAAAATTACTTTTTGCCATTAATATTGTATAAGATGAGTGTTACATAATACTTTAAACGTTTACAGATTTTATTTTTAATACATATTCTAATGATTGTAATGTTTAAACTATTAAACAGAGAATATATATTTTTTTAGGAGAAAGTGAGCCAATAACGAAAAGTCCTCCTTCGTCGATTGAAGAATTTTGTTACAGCAGTTCTTCGCATAAACATCACACATTGTACTGTGGTACCAGGATTTTACAATCAAGATTTTATGCTGGCGCTCAAGTATGAGTTATGATATGAATTATTTTAAAAACGATTATCRATTATTTGTTCACTTACATGAAAAGTACATTAAAATATAATAAAATTAAGTCAATTTATAGGTGTTAGCTTTGGTGGTTAGGACTGGAAGTTCAACAGCTAAAGGAAATTTGATACGGTCAATTATGTTTCCAAAAGATATGGATTTTGAATTTTACATGGATTCCATAAAATTTGTTATAATCATGTTTATCGTCGCTACTATTGGAATGCTTTACTGTGCCTACTTGTATGTTATTAGAGAAGTATGTATTGATATTCCTCAGTAATTTTAATTGAATAACTCACTAAATTAGTCTTAATATAAAAGTTTTGTTAAATTAGTTTTATATTGAAACAAAATATTTACAAATATACATTTTTGTTATTTTCCAATAAGTATAATATAAATCTCTCATAAATCATAATTAAATAATTATTGTTAATATTAATGTAAATTTTTTTCGTCATAGGCTTCTACAGAATACATCATCATAAGAAGTCTGGACATTTATACTGTAGTAGTTCCTCCTGCATTACCAGCAGCAATGACAATTGGTATTGTCCATTCTATGAAACGCCTAAAACGTCTTAAAATATATTGCACATGTCAGACCCGTATTAATGTTGCTGGTAAAATTAAACTTGTTTGTTTTGATAAGGTAAGCTTTTAAAGTAAATAGGTAATTTATTATTACAATTTATTTTATTTTTGATTGATTATGTAGATCACATCTATAAATAGATCTTCTGTAAAACAAGTTTATTAACTTATTAGATTTTGACTGTAAAAATATTTCACATCCTTGAAAGTAATGAGTAATCCTTTATAGTAAACAATTAATGATT